CAACCCTGCTTCCTCGGCTGGCATCTCTGTCATAGCCATTGAAAAGCTATGCCTAGAGCTAGAGTGGAGGCTGGATCTGGATCAGCGCCGTCCGCAGAAGGAGAGGCTGGTGTCAGACATGCTGTGTGCTTCGGGCCAGCGTTCTCTAAGCTTTTCCACTCACCCAAGAAATTCTAGAGAATCTTGGATGTCTAGACATAGAAAATAAATATATAAATGTTTTATTTATATGCTTATTATTTTTATTCTTATCAGACATACTATATTGTAATAATTTATAATTTTAATATGAGCATATATACTTACTATTATATATCACAAATAATAAATCATAAAAATTTAAAATAATTCTTTGGTATATGTATAATTTTACCATTCATTAGCAAGAAGGCAAGTTTGCATGCCAGTGAGGATTTGCTCCTAACTTGATACAGTCCAAAGACACACTAATTTGATACATGTTGATGAATGGCTATAGGAAATCATTTGGTTAATTAAACCATTATGTTTCTATAAGAGCAGAAAACATTGCCATACAGTAAAAATACTGATTCCTAGCATGCAGTTGTCTCAAATCTGAGCCAACGTGTTTCAGATAGTCCGAGTTGGCATTGCAGTATATGGCAGCTTGCATGGTGAGAAGTTCACATGTATGGTAAGACCCAAGCCTGTGGTAAAGGCAGGCTGTGCAACATAGTGGGGCTGTGCAGAAACACCACAGGTTTATAACATATGTAATGGGGTACACATGTCACATTTGTGCTGAAGTGCTCCACACTTGCTCTCTGCACTTGACCAGTTGTGAGTTTGCACATTAACCACCCTCCACTGCACGAAGACACCTCTCTGATGCGTTCTGAGAGCCTCCCTGATCTACAGGGAGAGAAATGAATTTAGAGAGCAGTTTGCGGCCACTTAGCAGAAAACAGTGGTAGGCTCACCCTTGCGGCCTGTGACCTCTCCAGCCATAGGGACTTGGTCAGATTTATAGTATCAGGTACATGTCTTCTATTGTGGAGTGGGCCTTAAATCCAAGCAGAAAGCAGTTGGTTGCCCTCTTCCTCATAACATTCATGCTATTGCTGAAACCATGGGCCAATCTTATCAGGAAGGTTGCTATTACAGTTCACAGAGTGAATGTGATGTCTTAAAATTAATAAACAAGCAAAGGACTCCTAGGTTTACAAATTAGCAAAGTCACACCTTATGTTTTCTAAGGCTTCCTGGAGGAAGTTGTATTTGGGTTGAACCCTGAGGTCTGTGTCTTCCACTCCACCGACTAAACTTGAGGAAACACAGTAACTACTCCTTTTCTTCATTTTTCTTATTGCTGCTCTTGTGGTCTGTTACTGACCTTTGAAATTGAAGGTAAATAAGCAGATAAACCAATAAGTAGAAAAATGTCCCTCCCACCCAGACTTCATAGTTCATCTTATTTTTTCAACAGTGTGGACATGCCATGCTATCTAGGATCTCAGCTCTGCTTCCTCCTAGTTGTCTATACACCACTGGGGATTTAGTCTCTGTGTCAGTTCTCAGAAGTACAAAATGAGGATAATATACATATGCCTTACAAGGTTTATCTATGGATTCCTGAGACTGTACATGTAATCAGCAGAGAGCCTGTACTAAGTACTCACTGACAAAGTGTAGCCATAATTAACAGTCTATTAACTTAACAAGGCAGAAGTAGCCAGATACATGCAAGCGCAATGACAGACATTTGTCTAGAACGTTAGAACATCTATAGCAGTTCAGAGTTTCAGAGTTTGCACCTTTGTTACTTAAAGTTGGTCTCCAAAACCAATTCAGAAGAAGTGCAGTTCTCATATTGCAGGCATAATACTGGCCACGCACTTGTCAGTTACTTGGTATAACTGATACTTTCTTCGTTGTACAGTGTCATTTTCTATCTCTTTCAAGGCCTAGTCACTGTCCAAGCTGTAATTTAACCCAGCATGTCCTGATTAATAGAAAAACTAACAAAGACAGTAAAACTCTGCCAAGTTTATAATAAACTTTATTTCTAGACAAAATGTTCACTTTACCTGGCCACGCATCTTTCTAAGAAAACTATCCTAGAAAAAAATACTATTTTTGTATTTTTTTGTGCATTGTTGAATTTTAATTATTTTAACTGGAGCACGAGGGTTGATAAGAACATAATAGGAATTTGGCTAAGGCATTCAAGGAAAAAAAAACAACAGCAACAATGTACCAACCACTTGGGTTTCTCCTGTAACTGTTTTCTTTAAGTTAGGAACTTTGTTTTTTACGTTGTTGAAAACAAATACCATTATGTTTGTCTTTGGGCTTTTTTTCTTTTTTTTATGCCTACTGAGGACTGAGTTAACATAGCTTTCAGCTGAACATGTCCAAGGAGTTGACTGACACTATGTTTCCAATCATCACATGACAAACTAGGCTGGAGCTGACGAATCACTTACGTTAGGCAAGAAAACCTTGTCCAGTGTGTCTCCTCTCAGTGGTATCACTTTATAATCTCCTATCAGTCATCTGAAGATGAATTTTTGAATCCGAAATGTGCATAGAGTAATGCCAATGTCTATCTTTTATTTGCTTAATTTAAAAACACAAAGGATCTAGGAATATAGTATAATGGGAGGGTCCTCGACTGGCATGCCTAAGGCCCCAGATTCAGTCTCCAATACAGAAAAAAAGAATAAAAGGACTATGTACAGACTAAAGAAAATGATAATTGGACATGTTTTCAAGTCAGTTCCTGGCGCGGGAGAGATGGCTCAGGAGGTAAAGTGCTTTCTGTGCAAACATGAGGACCTGAGTTTAGATCCCGGCACCCACACACAAGCTGGGTGTGCCATAATGTGGCTGGGCAAGGGAGCAGAGGCAGGCAGAGCCCACTGCTCATTAAGGTCATTGGCCAAATCAGTGAGCTTCATCTTCATTGAGCAACACTGTCTCAGAACAAGAAGCTGCTACACCTTATCAACTGAGACAGCCATTGATCTCTGGCACTCATTACTTCCAATACCTTAATATAATTTAAGGATGGCTCATATCTTAATTAAATTAGAGTTTTCATTGGAATAACTCCTATATTTTATAAAATCTGAGATGTGTGTACAGTGGTCAGTTGACTAGATTTCTACTTTGGTTTGGTTTTGGTCCAAACCTCAAACCCAGGTCCTTGTACACTCCAAGCACATGCTTCTGCTGCTGACCTACAGCTTCCAGCCCCTGATTCATTTTAAATCCAGAATTTTAGATTCCTTAAATACAATGTAGCATTCAAATCATAAGATTAATTATATAGCAGGGACAAGGAAACAGATGAGAAATGGTTAGAAAGCCCAATGGGAAATGGTTAGAAAACCCAATGGGAAAAGTTGAATCCATGTGTAATGGCACATGTCTTGAATCCCAGAATTCCAGAGGCAGAGGCAGAGAGGCAGAGAGGCAGAGAGGCAGAGAGGCAGAGAGGCAGAGAGGCAAAGAGGAGGCAGAGACAGAGGCAGAGAGGCAGAGAGGCAGAGAGGCAGAGAGGCAGAGAGAGAGGCAGAGAGGCAAAGAGGCGCAGAGGCAGAGAGGCGCAGAGGCAGAGAGGAAACAGAGGCAGAGGCAGAGGCAGGCAGATCTCAATAAATTTGAGGTGAGCCTCATCTACATAGTGAGTTCCAGGACAGCCAGGGCTACATGTGAGATCCTGTCTCAGGGTGGGGATTCAGGTGGGGGGAAGCTCCTTAGGGAACTATAGTTATTGTTCTTGAATAGAATTGGGTTTGAGTCTTTCAGCTAGCAGCCCCTTTTCTACAGCTGAAGACAAATATACCAGGGTCGGGTACGCACTGCACACTGCATCTAGGACCTGTGCAACTGAGGGATTATTCTTAGCTCTCTTCCTCTAGCCTCAATCTCTGAACAAAAAAGTATTGAAGACTAGGAAACTAGTCTAGCATATTGCTGTATTAAGTATAGTTCTACAACCAAATACATACAGTGTAGACAAAGCTGCCCACTAGAAGATATCAACCATGCCACATGCATGCTTTCTATTCTGGATGAAAATGCAACACTTACATTCCTTTTCTTCTTTATCAAAATATATAACCGTCTTTGTTCATCTTTAATAAAACTGGAGTTCAGTTAAGTGGCCTCACCACATGCACAAATAAGAAGTCTGGGTCACCCCAGTAGAGCAGCTCGTGTCACACATGACACACAGAGACATGGGCTGGCCCTTCAGATTCTACCTGGCAGTCGTTTGGTTGGTTTTGCTCTTAAATAAAACCCTCTGGTATGTGCTAATTTCCTCTGCCTTTAATGTGTGACTCATTCATTGCTCATTACCTTTCTACAGATATTTTTTTTTCCTTTCCTTGAACCAGCAAGAAAAATCTTGCATGAGAGGAGGGGGGAAAGAGTGAGTGGAGGAACACAGTGCTTAAATACTGTTACTGGGTTTTCATTGGCTGTCTGGTCTCTTACTGTGGCCAGTCTAGTCATGCTTCCCCCTGCAAATCCCTCCCTCTTCGCCCCCTCCTGCAAGTGAGTTCGCCGGTGTCTGTTGCCAGCGACTGACTGCAGGCTGTATGTAGGCATCTCTCATTCAGAATGGACATTGACATGTTGAGCAGAGAAGAAAGCTTTCAGCAATGTGTCATTTGTCACAATTGTCAGGCTTTTTAAAAAAGGACTCCCAAAGAGAGATGCTGCATGTTTTGCATGTTAGCACAGACTGATTTGCTCTCCAGACTCTTAAGTTTTCAGAAGCTTAAATATAGAGCCCTGTTAAAAAAGGAAGAGAGAATTTGTGTGTTAATCGGCCTTGTGAAGAAGTGCTTCATCACCCTCCTGCACCTCCCTGTGCTCTGGTGCGTGGCGTGGCCACGGCTCTCTAGGTTAGGGCTCTGAGCTGGCTGCAGCATGCTCATGTGCTAGCTGAGTAGAGTTCACCGGCAGTCGCAGGCTGATACAGGGTTTTTTGTTTTTTGTTTTTTCTATTCCTTTTGAATATCAAAATGCCATCCAAAGAGTCTTGGTCGGGGAGGAAAACTAATAGAGCTACAGTTCACAAATCAAAACAAGAGGGCCGTCAGCAAGATTTATTGATAGCAGCCTTGGGAATGAAACTGGGTTCTCAAAAGTCGTCTGTGACAATCTGGCAACCTCTGAAACTCTTTGCTTATTCGCAGTTGACATCACTTGTTAGAAGAGCAACTCTGAAAGAAAATGAACAAATTCCAAAATATGAAAAGGTTCACAATTTCAAGGTAAGAATATTTGTTTCTGGCCTTTTCTCATAAAGAATGCTCAGTGATTAGAATGTGCGATGTTACAGGCTCATCTTTGGATGCCTTGGAAAAATTAAAGTGAACTGAGTGGAATATTCTTGCTATTCAAGAAAAGAACATGTTTAAATCCTGATTTTATTTAAGGAAGAACTGAATAGAGCGCAATAGAAATCCAGCCCCATTTTCTCAGGTGCTGTGATAATGTTCTCTGTAACTACTGTGTGCACACTGCTAAGGCTTGACTGATGTTATAAAGGTCTTTAATCATGGTTTTGGCCTTGCTTGTATCTGTTTTGCAATGTATCTACCTTTGTTGGTGATTTCAGGAAGGGATTAAGTCTTATCTGTCCGATTCTGGTCAGAGGCTTTGCTGTAGCAGGCATGTGCAGTTGCATCTGGAGTGAGCAGATGGTGTGCATTTCCCATAGTTTCTGTCTTCTCTCCTCCTTCCGTTAATAAATTGACCACAATAAAAGAAAGATTGCTGCCCTGGGACCATAGAGGCTGTGACTGGCAGCTTCCCTGCATCTCTCTGTGGTGGCTTTCACCTTGCATATATTGTTTTTGATTCCTGCTGTAACATGTTTTATGCAGTGTACCTACATCTTCCTTTATGAAGATGATATATATGTATGTTGGCCTGAGATGTGTCTAGATCTTGCCTGTACTTACTGCATGGTAGAAGGCCTTGAAGGTGGGCCCTTTACATGCTAAATCATGGGATATGCAACTTGAAATCATGTGTAAGGAGACCCAATTACACTCAGCAGGCAGATGAGCCAGCATTTCTGTAGTAACTTCCTGATAGTTAAAAGTTGTCTAAGACTCAAGAATATTCAGTTTACACAGAGTATCATTGATGCTGATGTTAGAATGGGGGTATTTGATTGCAAAAAGGGTGTTAGATCTAGAAATTTGGGGGGTTTCTTTAATCCGTTACTTTATTTAACATTTATTCAGCATATAGAATGCACCAGGCTCTCTACTAAGGGGCTTCATCCCAGACTTATAATTCATCCTGACTTTTAACACCAGCATTTATTTTACTCATGCTAAAAAAACAAAACAACAAACAAACCAACATGCCTCAGTGTTTTCTGTGTTTTCTATAGTGAGGAATAGATTATAGTCTTCATACGATTTGGGGGATAATAATGTGAACCTTACTTTTCAACCAATATTTTTGCTTTAAAATGGATTTGAGACAGTTCAAACAAATCAAAAATTGGCAGAAAATGGAAATGTGTATATCCGGTCTTAGCGACATCCTCCACTTATAAACCAAAATTATATAAGTAAACAAACAAATACCTGCAGGATGTTTAGTTCTGGTGATGTATAGCCTGGTCTTATAGGACTTTTACCAGGAAAATGGCCCATAAAATGTCGATTAAGTTTGAAGGGAAGAATCATCCGCATATTCCAGAAATTCTGGGACTTCCAAAGCATCTTCAAAGAGATGCATCTCATAGGCAAAGCAGGCCTATAAGATGATCCTTGTAGTGCTAAGTCAGGTTCTGTAAACTGCTTTTTACCAATATTGGCTGGAAGTAAACGGGTCTGTTGGAGAATTTGAATGAACAAGCATATACTTTCCCCTCTCCTGCAGATTGTATCTATTAGGTTTTTACATAGCTTTATAGGAAGTAAATCCTGCGCATCCAGAAAGTATTAACTGTGTGATCGATTGTGACCCTCGCCACCGCCAGAACTGGAGACTGAACCTAGAGAGTTTGCCAGGCAAACACTACACCAGTGAGCTCTACCCCAGCCTCAGCATACCTGCTTTTGTTTATTTTGGGGATTTTTTTCTGTTTTATTTTGTTTTAAGAACATAAAACATGGGAGACTTATTTCTCTGGAGCTAGCAGATGAAACCCAGCTGAGGCCTGTTCTTTAACACTGTCCATGTCAAGAAGGGTTTTCTGTGGGACAGTGAAGCATTCTACACAGTGCTTAGAATCACTAATAAGGACAGAAGTCTCAGAATTTGACTCCTCCTATTAAAAATAACTCTGTTATTTTTAAAATGTGCCTGTGGAGTAACATTTTCAAAAATGTTTTCAAGAGAGAGAGAGACAGAGACAGAGAGAGAGAGAGACCCACTTGATTTCAGAGAATACCCCGGAAAGAATTGCAGGCCTAGCAGGAGCTTGCTCCGTACAAATGCTGGCATAGAAGGGCACTGCCTCTGGTACACATGTTCAGTCAGCTCTACTGTGGGAAAACAGAACTGTTTCCATGCTTGCCAGTCATGTGGCCTTGCCTGCAGCTTTCTCTCAGTGGAGTGTTTTCAGAGTGACCTCAGGCCCCTCACCAAAGCCTCCTTTCAGCGTGCTTTTCTCTTCAGCTTCTTGAGCTGCTTGTTACGTAATGCTGCTTGGCGTGTGCACAGCTGTCAGGTCTTATTTTAGGGTGAATGGAAGAGCACTGGTTACCTTTGGTGAAAGCACTCACAAGGAGGGAGCCATTCGGAGCAGCCAGACCCTGTGACTGGGGATTTGTAGGAGAAAAATTAAAAAATGGATTCTGCTGTTATGTAACCTTTCCCTTTCCTCCCGACCCCCTCCTCTCCCTCTCTCATTCTCTTCTCCTCCCTCCCCTCTGTTGTTCTTACATCATAGAAAGGCTACTATATCTTAGGGAAGTTATCATTTTAGCAATAAATATAGCACATTCTGTAGAAGCTTGGTAAGATGTCAATATAAGTTTGAGCATAATTCCAAAAGAGCTAGAGGGAGGGATTCTAGATGTTTTTACCAAAAAGTAAAATGAAGCAAATGTTGCAAGACACATGGTTATCCTGACTTAAGTATTAGACGTGTGGACCCATATGATAACAATACATAGTACCCCATAATTTTTAGTTTCTATTTGTAATTGACATATAAATTTGTACATATATATATTAGGTACCATGTGATGTTTCTATATGTATATAAACTTTACAAAAATTGAATGTATTTCTAATTAATCAAATTCTTTTAGGAGTTACTCTGTTCTGAGCTGATGAGATGGCTCTGTAGGTAAAGGTACTTCCTTGGCTCCCGGCTGAGGATTTTCTTGCTGGGATCTGTATGGTGGAAGTAGAGACCCGACTGTATGCCATAACACCTATGCACCTATAAACACACACTAAATGAAGTGATTTTTTTTTTAAATTTTAAAGAGAATTACTCTGTCCTAATACCACATGTAGAGAAAACAAAAAAATAAAAAATGTATCAAAAGCAAAACAGAAGCAGCTCTCCACAGACGTTGATCGCATCTTACTTCTATGGCTCTGGGAAGGACTGGAGACTCAGCCTTCGACCTCAGGAATTGCTTGTGACATGGACCATTGCCCAATTGGCCTGAATGCTTAATCTCTCTAAACCTCTCTTTCTATGGCAGAAAACTTAAGTTCCTGGTCTATGTAGGCACATGGTAGCCACTACTTACTACGACATGTTATCTCTACGGGGTTTTCTCTGGATTTATATCAGTTAATTTGTTTATATAAAAGAGTGATTGAATCCTGGCCTTCCTCTTAGCATAGATCACAGTGTGGTGGGGAGAGTCTTGGATGATCTGAGGAGGCTCCCAGTTAGCTCCTGGGCAGAGTAGGGTTTACATAAGAGCGCTGAGTATTTTATGTACCACAGAGTACAATGAAATCCTGTTTCCAAGAGAAGATACAGGCAGTGGTTTCTGAAATGCCAATTTGTTATAGAATTCAAACAGTACCAAAACAGGAGGCTTCCATAATAAGGTTAGTGATCAGGACCTCCAAAGTGAAGTAGTAGTAAGCACCTGGCCAGCAGGCAGTGTCCTGCTGCTTGGCAACCAGAAGGGCAGCAGTGGCCATACTCCTGCTGAAGGTCTTTCCTCTCCCTCCCGGGACACACAGTTTCGGGCCCAATGCTCTTTCATTTGATACATATCGAGAGGCGTTTTGTTTGTTTTTCTTTAACTGCACTGAAATTTTATGTTCAGCGGCTGTGCCTCCTTGCTCCCTTGTGCTGTACCCACTAACATCTTACCACTTCTCCTTCATTCTAATCTTTTTCCCTTTTTGCCATATGTAGGAAAGTGCGGGCAACTGGTACATGTTTAAGAGGTGCTGACTGAATGACTGTCTGAATTAGTATACAGTGTGACCTAGTGGACCTGTTACTTTGAAACCAACTGTGATGACAACAGAAAATCTCAATAAAAAATACATTCTGAAAATACATTCTTAGGACCTGTGTTCTTTTATATTAATAGAACTTACATACTTACAAGAACTCTGATAACATGATGCTTTTTGTACTTTTTTTTTTTTTAAATTTAAGACAGAGTCTAACTATATAGCCTAGGCTGGCCTTGAACTTATTATGTAGTGCAGGTTGGCCTCAAAGTGCAGATTCTTCTGCCTTAGCTTCATTCATGTGGTTATTGTAAAGTATCTTATTAAGCTTTTGCAGTAATGTACTATCCTTTATGGATATGAACATGGAGTATCCAACATGAGATTTTAAAGGAATCGTTTTTCTGCAAACAAGAGGTTAAAAGGAACTGTAACGTGTATTTTATATTAAGCACATTCCCCCTCTCTTCACTTTGAATGTGGGCCAAAGAAGACAAAAATAGCCAAGATCAGTACATAATGGGGTTCTCTCTGCCTCTGCAGTCAGACACGAAAAGGACTGATGAGCAGAAACTGGGAGGTTGGAAAAAATCATCTATAAGGTCCCTGTAAGAACTTTGTTTCTGCTGCTACCTGGCTTAGTGGTTCTCAGATGCTGTGAGAGCCAAAAATAATGAGCACATCTGCCTCTGCTTCTCTCCCTGCCTCTGCCTGCCTCTGTCTCTGCCTCTCTGCCTCTCTCTGCCTTTCTCTCTCTCTCTCTCTCTCTCTCTCTCTCTCTCTCTCTCTCTCTCTCTCTCTCCCTCCCTCCCTCCCTCCCTCCCTCCCTCCCTCCCTTTCTCTGCCTGCCCTTCTCTCTCTCTCTCTC